CTAAAAAAAAAAAAAAAAAAAGGAATTAGTGAATTATAACCATAGTGTACTTAAGCCTATCTTAACACAACAACTGACAAGTACACTGACAGTGCACTAGTCAGAATGATAATTATTTGTTCGAGTCTTACATCCTCGTAGCTCAATAAGGTACCAGTATCAGAGAACGAGCGAGATCATAGGTACAAGCCCGGGTTTTGGGCAGAATTTTCAACATACTGATTTGTTATAATATTTATCTCTAACTCAAAACTTCTATTGAACTAGCTAATATATGAAAACTGTTTCAGTAATTCAAGCCATTCATATCACCTTATTTAATTTCTGTAGTGTAAACTGCTGTATAGAAGACATATTAATACTAGAAATAAATGACCTTATAACACCAAAATGTTTTTATTTAATTAGATACTCAACAGCTTTTATTGTTTATTCCAACTATCCAAGTAATCAAAATATTGCTATTATGCTTGTTTGTCGTTATGCACAAAGCTACATAGTGTGCTCAGTTTGTTCGGCTTTGACGATTCAGATAAAGCCTCACGATCCAAAGGTCTTGGGCTTGATTTACTTGTTCACCCTGACTTTGCTACAATAAAGCTAGAAGGCCATCTGCCACTTGCTAATGTTGATGAGATGGAAGGCAACTGGTAGGCACAGCACCTGCCACCAACTGTTCCTTTGCTTGCTTGTATGTATCATGATTTGAATAACATTGTACTAAATGATTAAGTGACTACATTTAATTAATGGGGGCATTGATTAATCAATTAGCAAAATACCACTAATCATTCAGCTCTAGTTAAGACTAATCACTTCACAACAAATAAAATGCATATTAATGATAAATGATAAATAAAACCATTTCCTGATATTACTTTTAAAAGAGAGAGAGAGCAACAAAGATATCAAACTAATCATAAAATGTTACAAATGTTTTTTTTACCACTGCTTCCTCCTACTGTCCGTGATGTATCATAAGGGTTCCTGGTACGTCCGTACAGATTATTGTTTGATTCCCACCACATGCACAACTCACTCACATTGCTAACAGCAATTGGAATGGCTCCAGCTTTCCGTAATAATGCAACAACTTCTGCATCCTCCTCGGCCTTGACCCCTTTTCTAGACACCAAACCAGCACTCAATACTAACCCTAAGATACAAAGGGAAACAAAATGGGGATTTACAAATAATATTAGGTACCTAGAGCATTCATATATTAAAGGGGAAAATACCCTGCAAGATGAAAAATAGTTTATAATAATATAAACCCATTTTTCCCCTTCCATAGAAATCTACCTTCTTTTTCATCTGATGAGTCTCTAATACAGAAATGTAAACACGTTTTACTCCAGTCCCAACAGTAAACCTTCACTTTGTAATTCAATCACAACCACTACGTTTCAGAAAGAGTTTCTGTCGGTAGACAAGTCATCCTTAAATTTGTAGTTAACTAAATGTCCGACTTTCCGAAACTGTTGAGGAATTTTAAAAGAAGACTCTTTTAAAAGACCATCAAAGTGTTTCTTCAAAATAAAACAATCTTGTTGTGAATTTACACGTGTGTTTTTGAAAGAGTGAACTGTAAAGATATGAAAATGTTAATATCACCATCCAGACTGTTCCCAGTTTATTAAACAAGTATAATAAATAAATTAATGTTGGAAATATGCAAAAAATGTAAAAGCTAAACAGCAAGACACGTGGTTTATTGAAACAAAGAGAAAAATAATTTATTCCAGGGATCATGGGAACAACGTGCAAGGAGAGACAGTAAAGATGTAACAGACATGTTTAATGGCAAACAGTTAGTGACTAGCTTATGAGCTCTCGTTAAATTTATTTATTTGTACAGAATATATAAAAAGGGTAAAAGTCCTGCTTTAACTTCGTTATAACCCAAGTTCTAGCCTGATAAATGTATTGTATATAACAGAGCGAACATAACTCCGTGCAGGCTACAAAGATTTTGCCATTAGGGAGAAATACAGAACATGATTTGTTAGCCCACATAAAACAAAACTGTATTTTTCCCAATGCTTCACCCTAACACATAGCACACTTTCCAAAGTTTCTGATTTTTCTGCAACTCAAACATCAAGGCCTGATTTAATGAATGCTTGCATAGTATTACTATACACAGACTTTTGGACTGCTTTATACACTAAACACGATTATTTGGTAATTGAAGTTTTTAAAACAAATTACAACAGGTAACACTTGCATAATCTTAACTTGATAAACAATACTTATCTTTATCAAATTATCTTTGTACAACTTATTACTTCATTGAAATGTCATTACTGGGGCTGTGAACCAGTAAATAAATTACACAGCTTAGCTAATGTACTGACCCAATGTGCTTTATAGCAATTAGCCAAACTGACCCTTGATGCTTAGAAACAGTTTACACTCAGATATACTGTGGAAATAAGTATAGTACGATCAGTATAAATTACGATAATTCCTTGACAATGGTTCATTTAGTAGGCAAACGTAGTATTACGGACAATAGGGACCTTGACAATGGTTCATTTAGTAGGCAAACGTAGCATTACGGACAATAGGGACCTTGACAATGGTTCATTTAGTAGGCAAACATAGCATTACGAACAATAGGGACCTTGACAATGGTTCATTTAGTAGGCAAACATAGCATTACGGACAATAGGGACCTTGACAATGGTTCATTTAGTAGGCAAACATAGCATTACAGACAATAGGGAAACATCTGGGCCCTCAAAGTTGTCTTTATACATTCACCCAAGAAAAATATCAAATATAAATCCACCCTTTTATTCTTCTGGAAATCAATGATCCCTGCTCCCCCACCTCTTAAATTCATACAAGGTTAACAGCTTTAACTACTTCACCTGTTAGAAAATTGAAACCATCTTAACTAGCACCTTTATCTTACTTACCTCCTGTATAATGTTGTAAACTTCAACATAATAACCTCTTACCTATATTTTCTCAAGAGTAAATACAATAACAGATCTTAATCCATTGGTTCCGCTTTCCTATACTAAGCACCCCTTACTTATAATCATTTTTCTTTACCCCCTCCCCTCCAGTTAGAGAATACAAGCCAATAATTTACCCATTTTCTCACCCCTATAATTGACTATCTTAACATTTTAGATGTCTTGGTGACTAGTTTACTTAAAGCTTGTTCTGAAATATCTTGTGCCCCCCAACCCTACATTGGGAGTATGCCACACAGGTTGGGAACCAAAGTCTTAACTTATCCCTGTAAGATAACCCTTCCATCTCCACAAAGTATTTCCAGTGAGGCCTAACTAGTTATTTGTAAAAAGGAAAATGCACTTTTTTCTTTAGTCATGCTGTAATATGACTGAAGAAGGGTCTTGACATCATAAAAGTCCTCAAACCACTGAGGCAATGATTCCTTTCTAGTACTTAATATGTATTTATAAACATAATGATTAAAAAAAAGAGCTTATTATTTCATAATACAAACCATAACTTGGTCTTGCTTGAAACATTGTAGGTTTGTTTGTTTTTTTATCTAAGAAAGTATATTAACTAATAGGGAAGGATAAATTGAATGATTCTGGGAGGATGTAGACTAACAGGGAAGGACTATGCTGGGAGAGGGATGTTGACTTGTTACTAAAGGAAAGGACTACTAGGATGATTGTTGGGGATGTTGACTAAAGGAAAGGACTTACTAGGATGATTGTT